GGGGAGAGCGGCAGGGTTGGGGGTGGGGGTGGGGGGCTGCGTTCACATCAGCAAGATCAGCAGTGCCACCATATTCCCTCCCCATACTGGCCTCACGCACCCGCCTCAACTGACACCATCACATGACAGGGATCTTAAGTACACAACAGGAAGTGGCTCTTCAGACAGTTTGCTTTGCTCTATTTCTCAAACTGGAGTTGAATGGGGTCGGGGAGAGAGTCAAACAGAAAGAGAAAGAGAGAGGGTGATAAGAAGGGAAAGACAAAGACTTTCAGTGTTGACTAATTTCATACTTCATACATTTCTTTCAGTGGGTGGAATATTTTCATAATTTGCATATTTTCATCAACAGTTTTTGTGTGAGTGTGTTTGACTGCTGTTATGTTGAAGCATTGAAATTCTGCTGTAATTCATATGCATGCATTACACTGTATTATGTTATACATATGTCAAACTTGTTAGACGTTTTCAAGACTTTCTTTATTATAACCTATTCTTATTTCTTGCAGCGCAGTCCAAATCTTTTCACAAGAATCACTCGAAGTTAATCACATCTTTATTCTTTCCTCCCTGCCAGCTTATTGATAACATCATTAAATGAGACCCTTTCTGTTGTAGCTCTGTTGATCAAACGGACACAGTTTTTTCTGGAGTATTAATTTTAGCAGATACTAGACGCTGAAAGTGTGGACTATATGAAATGTGACTGACAGCATTATTACATGCTATTATATAAAGTGCCAGAGCCCATAAGCTGAGTTACTGCCAGGCTCTAATTATAAGTGGATAATTGATCATAATCACAAGAGGATAAGGTGGTGGAGGAGGGAAGTTAGCACAAGAACAATCATATGTCTTAAACTCTCGCACTGAAAATGACTACCTTGCGCCAGAGCCACCTATCTATCTAGAATGATTTATGCTATTGAAATCAGCGCGGCCTCAATGGTACACCATGCTTCCTCCTGGGCTGCTTAGTAAGCTAAGGCTTCCAGCTAACAAGCAGAGCAGTGTTCCAGCAAGAAGCTTGCAGCTGTGTGGCTGACATTATTTTGAAACAAAATGTATTTTCAGATAAAGACCTTTGATAGGCTATAATATAAGGCTTTAATGTTAATCTAAAAAAGAATAGAGGCTCACTATTCCTGCTTGTAATTGAAAACTCTTTGCCCTCTACAGTTTTAGCCATGCTAGCAGTGTGGCAGTGACACTGTGTTGGTCATTTGTCCACGACTTTTTTCCAGACTGAAATATCTCAAAATCTATATACATTCACATTCTCCAGAGGAGGAATCCTGATGACGTTGGTGATCTGACTTTTCCTCTACTGTCACCAAAAGGTCCAAGTTTTCACTTGTTCTACTTGATGTTGGGATGGATTGGCACAAAATGTGACATTCACTGGTCCCACAGGATGAATCCTAATTGCGTATCCTTCAGTGCCACTGTAAGGTACACATTTGCGGTTTTGATTGAAATATCTTAACAACTTCTAGATGGATTGCCCTGAAATTTGGTACAGACCTTATGTTGACCCATTGAGGATAAACTGTAATTATTTTGGTGATCTCCTGATTTTTCATCAAGAGACATATCATTAGGTCAAATTTTTATTTTGTTCAATGCTTTGGATTTGAGAAAGTAAAGAGGAAGAAAGTCATAAACTTGACACACCATTTAAATGATGAACAACAAAGCTGGAGATGACAGATAGATGATGGACATAAACCTGCAAAATAAGGAAAACAAAGCCGTGCAATTGATCCATCCATGGTAGTTTTCCCCTCCATCTGTCCCATCTGCCCTCTGTCTCCACATCCGAATGTTACTCATTAATACTTAGTAGTTCCTTCCAGTTCTGGCGCTAAAAACAGAGGATAATAATCTTATTTCCTATTAAATGGCCTTGCTGATTGGGGGTCAGGAGGGCTGGGGGGGTTGAGGGCTATTCAACAGTAAGCCTGTCATCCACCAGACAGTTGCATGTGCAAATTGAAATGTAATGAGATTAGCCACCAGAAGGGAAACAATGAAGGCTCCTCGCCATACAGGCGAGGCAGAAAAAAAAAAAAAAAAAGACAAATTGGCTTAAGGAGGGAGAAACTGTCCAGGAGAGACAGACAAGATTACCAATCATCAAAGTCATCAAAAAGGAGAAATGGCATCAAAGCTCTGTTAAAGGCCAACATTGTGCAATAAATGGATACAGTGTCTTCTTGATGCTAGCAAGGACAGTTCACTTTGTAAATCTTGACTGTCATTGACATCCTCCAGCTAATTAACCTCTCTCTCTCTCTCTC